CAGATGTGTAATCAATCATTCGAGTAGGAGGCAGCAAAATTGTAAAGATTCGATAGATTAAAATGCAAATGAAAGGTAGAAAAAGAAACATTAACATGGCAATCAAAGATTTAATAATCGTAAATCACGGTGGGTTTTTTTTGTTGCAGCTGCAGTTTGTGTGTTTCTTATGTTTTAATCATGTTCGTTCTATAAATAAATAATTTCTGAAACGAGACTAATTTTTCACTATTTTAACCGTGGGCTATGGCACTAAATATTTTTTTTAATGTATGGAACTCCAGATTGCAAACTATCAGACCAGAAAAAGGGAAAAAATAGCTAAGTTGGATTAGTTCACATTTGAAATTTCAAGTACACTGTCTTCGCAGTGCCGACTGCTTCACTTTCCAATTGAAATCCTTATAAAGTTTATTTGGAATCATGAATGTTTACATAAAAGCAGACAACCGGCGTTTCTTTATAAGGCTAAGGGTAGCGCCAACCCTCATTCTTGGAGGAAATATGGAAAGATATATATGTGTGTATGTGTTTGTGTGTGTGTATTTTTTTTCTTTTCCCTATATATGTATGTAGAGGAAAAAGAACAATAACGCTTAGGCTGTATTACCTCCAAATTAAAGCAATGCTAAATTTCCAAGGGAAGATTAAAGAGGGGGAAACCTGGGGAGAGAGCTGATCAATGCGGTGAAGGACAAGCAGGAGAGGATTTGCTCTCCCCCCTCGGTTTAGCGCGGCGCCTGAAAGGGAGGCTCGGGGACTGCCTAGGATGGTTGTGGCAAAACCGGCATCCTTCTGTTATGGCTCACTCGGGCTCGGCTTTGGTACCCCCAAGTCCCGGGTTATGGGGTACACCGGCTCGTCCTCTGGGAAAATGGCTGGAAAATAATTCTTTTGAACTTTTGGGCTCAGTGGATGGAGTTCATTTTGCGCGGCGAGGAGCGGGAGAAAGGAGTTACTCTTTACTTCGTTGGTAATCTTTATAGAGCCGAGAGAGAGAGAAGGGAGAGGGGGAAAATCCCCCGTGGGCTGCTCCGGTTTGGGGGCTTGCGGCAGCGCTGCCGTCTCTAAAGAGCGCTCTGCGAAAAGAAACCAGTACGAAAACCAGCAAAATGCGGGAAACGAGCTGCGTTTCTGGGACCTTCTCCTCCTCGCCGAGGGGGCCCGAGCCCGTCCTGTACCCCCTCCCCGGCTCTCCCGGTGCTCCCGGCAGAGCCCCGCCGCCGGACCTTTCCACGGGGCGGCCGCCGCTCCGCGCCGCGGGGACCTGGCGTATCCCCCGCGGCCGAGGGAAAACTGCGGGGAAGGGGCTCCTGAAGAGCCCCACCGCAGCACCCCCGCACCGCTCTCCTCCAGGCGGATACACGGCATTTGGGGGTAGAATTCACCAATTTTTTTTTTCCCCAGCCAAATCACATTATACCCACTTTAATTTTTTCCCTTGCTAGAGCCCTATTTTTTTCCCCCCACTTCCTCTCAGCGGATTGGGGGGTCCCAGCAGGACGGTCCCGCTGGGAGCTCCGCTGGCCCTGCACGCCGGCTGCCGGGGCCGCGCTCCGGGCGGTGCCCGGGACTTGTCTGCCAGACGGGGAGCGGGGCCGGGGGGGTCCGGGGCCGGGAGGGTCCGGGGGGGCCCCGCCGCCTCCCGCAGCCCCTGACCCCGGCATGCACGGCGCGGCTCCATTGATCATCCCAGCCCGCCACCCCCTCCCTTTATGAGATAATGCAATTACAAACATCAATAAGGAGCTGCGAGGGGAATCATTATGCGGTGACAGTGATAAATGACGGTGCAGAAATAGCATGCTTTTTTTTTTTCCCCCTAACAATCCAGGGGCTTTGGGGGCTGAGCACAGTCACCAAGGTAACAGATGACATCCAAAATGGCACCAAAGGAAAAAAATGAACAGTCTTTCTTTCGCCTTTCACTCTTTTCGCCCTGCTCTTCCAAAAGAGTTAGTTGGGGCTTTGGAAGCAGCTGCCACACAGGCATGAGGGTATTTCCACACGCATTAAAGGGATGGGGAAGGCTTGTTGGTTGTCACACACAAAGCACCAGCCCGGCCCGGGAGCTGAGCAGCCACCTCCAGGAGGCACCGGGAGCTCCCACTCCGAGCGCGATCGCCCCCGCTCCGCTCCACGCACTGCTCGTCCCTGCCTGCGGCCGGGGACAGCCGCCTCCTATCAGCCCGCGGGAAACGTTCGTTCGGTTTTATATATGAATACATACATACATACATACATACATATATATATATATATATATATATATATATATATAT